CTGACCTCCTGGTTCGGACACTTCGCAGACTCATACCTTTGCAGGATCCCAACATGGAGTGGGTGGAGATTGGGATCGATGTGAGGGGCTGGAATATCTTGGCGCCTCTGCATTTAGTAGCGATGCCAGGAGCCAGTAGTAAGGCCAGGAGCCCCTATGTTGGGGTGGATAAAAACTCTGAAGAGCAATATACCGTAAGCACTGGCAAGCATTTCTGCTCCAGTTGACAGAGCGTAACCACCAGCCATTTAAGACTCCAGAATATTTAGTTTCCTGTCGGTAGAGGCGGCTTGGACGCCCTCCTTGCTAATGTGATTTTGTTTTCTGTCTTGCGCAAAATCATGATGTTATGTTCTTGTTTGGAGTTTCAATATTCAATGTGTTGCAATCTCCTATTTCAGCGTGTCAAAGTCGACAATTGAATTCGTTCTCCACTGCAATACCCGCATTTCAAGGTTCGCAAGATGTGCCTCAGAGACACTGGTGGTCGGCGGATTCCACTCGCTCTCGATTCGGAGCTCCAACAAACTGGTGAACGACCACTTTTTTCACGATCAGTGGGAGCACTTCATGGTAGCTGATCATCCTTGGCTGCACTTTTTCCAAAACCAAGCAGATATACAAGCCGCATGACGTGAAACTCTGGGCAAGTTCGCCTGCGTGAGGTCTTGTGTGTCCTTTTGCATTTTGAGCTATGGCCAAATCATTTGCACGATCTGCCCATTAGGTCGGCGTGGTAGTGGGGCCATGCTCGATGTCTTTCACTTGAGGGATCCACGGGGCAATATTTAGGTTATCGGTGGTTTGTCGCCAAGAAGAACCACTACCGTTTCAGGGCGTTTTGATCTTTCCAATCTTCATCTCTTTTTCAGCCTAAGATGGATCATCATGCAGGACCCACCAAATACATTTGGATGTTGACTGTAAGTTTGTGGGTGCGATGACAAAAAAGTAATGCTTTTGGATAGGGTTTTCAGATGTATTCAGAATTTAGTTATCCGAGTGCTTTTCTGAGGCTTTGCTCCTACCGTGACATGATCCCGAAGACCAAGGTGCACTTTGGTCTGGGGCTCAGATACCCAGCTATCAAATGTAAGGGATGCAGAGAAGACTCACCGCCAATCCATACCAATCCTAGAATGCTTAATCTTGGCATCCACAACGCAGTTGGGTCTGTTGGGAGGTTCAGTAATTGTTCTGATAGCTTCAGCCTTCCCTTCTAGGCACCATTCGCCCCCTTGTCGGACCTTGTCGGATTCTCCACGCTTGGGACACCGTCACGCACGGAGGTTTTCTCGTGCAGGGCATTGAAGATGACGAACTTCCGGAGGGCTTGATGTGCGATGTGCACCTTGGCTCTTGGAAGTTTCGCCCGGTTCGGTGGTTCGTCCGTTTGAATGCCATTCTTTGCAAAGGTTTCGGTGAGGGGGATATTGATGATATTGATTATACTTCAATGCTCCAGCTTATAATAAAGGCCCTCAAGAGTTAAGAGTTGCGGATGGCAGAGAACTACCTCCAGAGTGCAGATGTTGGTTTACATTCTAGGATTCTAGGCACTTCTAGACCGTACAGTACTCGCGTATTATATAATGCATACACAGACAGAGAGAGAGAGAGAGAGAGAAGCAGAGAGAGAGAGCCAGAGAGAGAGAGAGAGAGAGAGTGTGATGCAAAGGCCCATGGCTATATGCCAGCTCTCCCTGACCAGTCTCGTTAGCACTGGCGAAGATCTCAGGTACGTCTATGGTGCAAACATCATTGACAATCCCGCCAAGATCAAGTTGGATTCCTGATTCCTATGCGCACATGTCTCGCCGTGAACGGACACTGCCTCCGGGAACTGAGATACCAAAAACCATCAACTAATCAGCCAGAACTGCATGAGAGATGAGACATGATGAGACCATAGAAACCTGACTATTGCACAGCCTGCTTGAGCAATGCTGCCAGCACCTGACAGGGAGACCATCGGGGGCACTGCCGTTGCGACGGTCAGCGGACGAGCCGGTGGAGCAGAAGCTTCGCTCAGCGGATGAAACAACCGATGCTGAACAGCTTGCGGTACTTGTGAGACGAAAAGCTCGAAAGTGACGCAAAGCCAGGCGTTTCGCATTGTTTTGCTCAATGACCATGTTTCGCGATGATTGGAGCAGCATGGAAACAGCACCTTGCTAGCTAACAAGTTGAACGATGTCAGTTTTCAACATTAGACTCATTTCCGGTTCATTCCTGTTCACCGGAAGGTACTGGACCAAATTCCCCGGTTCTAGGAACTACCATTAGTGCGAGTTTTCTTGAAGAAGCGTGAGCTATCCTGCGTCCAGGTACTAGTAGCATCTTAGGAAGGTAGTAGCTACCTAGTCTCTACAAGCTACCTCTACCTACCTCTTCTACCGGCCTACGCCCCCCCTAAAAGAGAAAAATAAACGTAGAAAGCGCGGGCTTTAAACAAAAAGACAGTGTCGGTGATGAGCACTCGACTGCCCATATTTGCTCGACTGCGCTTTGTCTCACCGCTGGCACAGCGACCTCCTGGGTTGCCAGGTTGCCGGGTCCCTCGGTGTCTCCCGACCGCGTGTCACAAAGCGTGGTGAAAGAAGTCATGACTCGATCCCAAGAGTGTAGTCAGTGTAGTCATGTCAAGTCGATCTAGTCCACTACTGATTTCTTCTCTTGGGACTGCTTGCCCAATGAGCTAGGGAAGGTCTTTTCAAAGGCCCATCTAGAGCTTTCCATATACAGTAAATGGGTAGGTAGGCCTTTTGGATTGGTTGTAGCCTAGAACAAGCAACTCAACACTGGTTGCAGGAAGGTAAGTATCCCTACTGCCCAGTTTGGAGGGTTGAAACTTAACACGCACTGTAAACACTGCTGCCTTTTCTAGCTAGTCAAGTTTCACATCCTTTGCCTGCCTTTGCCTACCCAGTCAATGCAGAGGCCATGCTACAAGCATACATTTGCGTCTCCTTCGTTTCGGGGCTCCCATCTCATGCGACACGCTTGCTTGAACAGAGGCACCTTGGTCGGACCCAATTGCAGCAGTTTATTTGCAAATCCCTCAAGCCGGTCATCTCTGGTCAGACCGGAGCTGACCATTTTATGGACGGTTTGACTGTCGTCCGAAAGTACGCATGGCTGGTTTGGACAGTACGACGGATTGCTCGTTTCATGCTCGAACAGCACGTAGTAACCCATCGAGGATGTTAGAATCGATCATTTCCGGGCATGTAATATAACGTTTTGCCTCCCTGATTTGAGGCGGAGAAGACAGGTGTGTACTTGTCCTACTGAAGGTCACCCAGAATAGACACGACATTTCGATTTCAGAATTTCTTCTCCCAATACCCAATGAAAGACTTTCGACGTGCCATATTCGACTTTCACCCCAAATCCTTCAAGAGCAGTACTATGAACCCAAACTTTCAGACGCCACCCTCAAAAGGACGGTCATTTCATCGTTGGATTTTGGACTTTCATGAAGTTGACGAAGCATATTGAAAAAACAATGCAAAACACACCTCCAAGCGGAACCCCCAATGACACCTCAACACTTCTGAAAGGAAGACATTCTGTTGAGCGGCAGACCAGCCTTTGAGATCAACGCCTCCGTACACAGAAGCCACCAGGCCCAAGGGCCTGAGAGCCGTCGGATTGCATGCTCACTGGAGAGAGCAGACAGCGACATCCATCCGACATCGATCACTCTTTGATCCGACCCTGCTCTTCAACCGAAATGGTAGTGGCCATTTTCTCTTTTTCTGAGGAGAAGAGTGCTGTGTCGTGGCGACAGTTTGTTTGGATTAAGACTAAGAGAAGTGTTACATGAGGCAGGGCTGTTCCTTGAACGTGGACTGTTGAAATATGATTTTATTGTGATGTTCTGGTGTATGGTGTTGTTGAAACGATCAGTACATCTCTCTAGAGGATACCCTTCCGCAGCAACTTGAGCGTTGTGAGCCTCATGCGCTTCAGAGCTTCGGAGTGCCGACCATTGGGCGGCCATTTCTGGACTTGGCCTGTCACAGCACACTGATCCTCGTGTGAAAAGCCAGGCCGCGTGGCCAAGGCCTCTTGTGACCGCGGGCAATAGTAGCAAAAAGAACGCAGACGAGGCGGAATTCAATGGAACAGTAGGCGTAGGCGACACCTGCAATGTTGTTCAGCATATTGTGCAGACATATGTCACCTAATCGCGTCCTTGCTACTAGTATACATCCCTTTGTTACTAGTAGCTTCCTTGTTCAAGGCCAGGAGCCCCTAGTAGCGTCCTTGCTCCTAGGGGTTTAAAGTTTCAAGGAGACAGACTCTTCATGTTTTGACATGTTTTGACCAGAACACAGTAAGCGACTTAACTGTGGGACAACTTCAATGCGAGAGGTTGGCAATCTGAGCAATGCATGCACTTGTTGACCTTGTTTGCACCCGATAGAGAGGGACTAGCAAAATGCCGGTATCACAACAAAGCGTACTCTCTAAAAAGCATTCTAAAGCGCTATGCAATAGTACGATTGTTCAAAACGTATGCTGCTATTAGAAAGGAAACGGTTGAAGTTGTAGTTCTGAGTGCAGCAATGGCAGCAACTGTTCAGCGAACCCGTGGTCACTCTCGAAGACAACACACTGTTTTTACTGAAATGCACATCCACCAGCCTTTGCTGATGTTTTCACCTGGAGCTGTCGTGCCACCACATCCTTCTAGGAGTGTCGAAAGTTGATAATACAACATACGATGAGCAGTCTTTCTTCTTCTTCTGCTTGTTTCCTGAGAGGGCCAGGTCTTCCGAAAGCAACATTATTCTTACATTTCTTTTTTTGTAGCCAAGCCTCCAATGTGTCCAAATGACAAACCTAAGGACCTTCATGAAGTTGGGATAATAGAACTTCCTCTATCACAGGGTGGTGAACCGGGGCTTCACTTGGCTTCCACGTTTGTTTGCAGCATGACCTGGCCTTGATGATGTGGGAATGAGTTGAACATGTGGGGGGGGCAACCTCAGGCCTCCGAGGGCATCATGCCGGTGCCTACTGCAGCACGTGGCTGTCAGCCAAGAGGTGCAATCGAATGGTGGGACTGATCTGGAGTTGGCTCCGATTTCTTCATGACATTGCACGGCCACAGCCACCGCCATGGGGCCTTTGCCCCACTTTGGGGCATTTTAGGATGTCAAAGAAGCAACAACAACTGTCAAATACATTTAAATACAATTCCTTTACATAGCTTTATCCTTCTAAAAGGAAACACACGTATGTATATATATATATATGAATATACAGTATCATAATATTCCCGGGCAAGCCGGCGGCGGAAGTTTCCTACAAGAACAATTTGACCTATAGGAGTGTCCCTTCGCACATGCTCTGCGGACCCCCTTTTTTCCGGCCGGCAACGATGGCGTCATGCAAGCAGCCCACAACGGCAACCGTCGTTCCGCAGAGCTTGACTTGCCAGGTTCGGAGCCACCCTTTGTATTGAAAAAACTCAACATTGCGTGCTTCCGACACTTTGTACGAGACTTCCTTCCAAGCTGCATGTTGTACACCTGCAAAGCGAAGGGATTCTGCGAGACTTCCTCCCAAAGTGTAACTGGAAGGTATGATTCCACCAGACATGAAAGTACCATTTACATTAAGGGAACGATCCTGAAGTTGCAAAGCACAATGAAATTCCAGCGGCAACTCATCCACCAGCAACACTTGTAGTCACACTTACAGTGCGGAAACCATCCAGGAGTTGCAAAGTGCAATGGAATTCCATCAACAGCACGCACACAAGAAACAGGTGGAAACTCTTGTTATATGTCACAATGGAGGGACGATTCGACCCATGACGCGAGACCGTGCCGCAGCCGTCGTTCCGCAGAGCTTGACTTGCCAGGTTCGGAACGGTTCGGAGCCACCCTTCGTATGGAAAAACAACATTTCGTGCGTCCGCTATCTCTCAAACACGCACTTTGTACGAAACTTCCTTCCACAATGCATGTTGAACACTTGCAAAGCCAGAGCGAGAGCTAACTAAAGCTAGAGCTGACCCACAGCTAGAGCTAACTGGAGTTAGAGCTAATTAAAGCTAGAGCTGACTGGAGCCAAAACTGATTAGATAGAGCTACCTGGAGCTAGAGAGCTGACTGAAATTAGAGCTAACTAGAGCTAGAGCTGTTGAACGTCCGTAACACGGAAGTTTTGCACCCTAAACTTCCTTTGATCATATATCAGCCTTTACACAGTCAGATAGTGTCATGATGTTTTATTTTCGCTCTAGGCGTTCTCTTTTCGCCTCAGCCCGCCAGTTGCGCCACTGGCGGCTTTGACCGTCGGGCCTTCCTTTGGGATTTGCGACAGCAAAAACCTCGTGCGGCGATGCAGACACGGCAACACGCCGGGCAGCTCAGATGGAACTCTTTGAGGTTCAATCTGGATGGCAGTGGCCTTGGTGTTTGGCAAGTAGCCAGGTCAGCCAAGGAACGTGGATGCCAACGACGAAGAAAGAGGGAACCCTTCCGCGAAACAAGACACGCAGATCGAAACAACAAAAATGTGGATCTGAAAGCAATCCTGTGTCGAAGCGCTTATTTTGACGAACAAGGTCGACAAACTGTTTCAGGGATCTAGTCTTATTTCAACAAAATATTGTGGTGTGAACGCTTGGGTTTCAGATGAACCGCTGAACGTGCTTAGGTGTATTCAATGGCGGCAGTTGAGAATGACCTGTTCGTTGGCCTTGGGGAAGGTTGCATCGCGTCACTGGGAGCAATTGAGAGGTGCCACAACTCCAACAAAACCTGGAGTTTGTTCATCTGAATCTCTCACTGCACACTGTAAGTCCAGAAGATTCAATCACCCACTTCTTTAGAGAGGCTTTCCTTGGCCCCCATTTTGTGGCGGTTCTGTGAACACTCTTGGACAAGGACCCTTGCCAAGGCTTCACCAAGACCCCAATATTGCACTGTGTACCATTGAGCAGAGCTCAATTCGTGTGAGACTTTTCTAGTTGAGTACGGCAAGTCTTCTGCAGTTCTACAGTTACCAGTTACCAACTAGCTGTAGAATCTTGTGTTTTCTGTCTATGCACCAAGAATCTTGAGCAGTTGTACCAGGAACTTGTGCAATTTCTGTCTATGCATCTAGGACGCTTCTTCCAGGGCTCCTGGCCGTACTAGGAGCAATGTTCGTACCAGGAACGACCAATTTCTGTCTTTCCATCCGAGGCAGTGGGACCTTCGCTTCGGCCCACCGGTGCGGGAGCTCCGTGGCCATGGCGCGGCAGTGGGGAGGCACAGGATTCCAGCTTTTGGCTTCGACTCCGAACGGCAAGAAAAGAACGAACTGTATATCATAGTATATCCAGTTGTATATCCAAATAGTCGAGAAATGTCGAGAATGAGCATCCACAGGTTTGGGCTAGTTTTATGCTCGAAATTTCCTAGCTTGGACTGGATGGGGTTCTTACTCTCTTTGGGTTGCAATATTGGGAAGCAGATCTTTGGCAGTGTTTCCCAGCTTGTCTCCAACTGTCTCCAGTAGCCCCGTTTGCCTACGACGCTGGCGCAAAACATAGGCTTGTGTATCCCCTTTAAAATTCCCCCTACAGATTAGTGCTACCTGGGTACTCCCGAGCACCTATTTTATAGCACTATAGAATTGAGACACTCAGGTTTCTTGATTCTAAAGGAGACCACGAGATACCACGGGAAGTTTCCGACAAGGGTGCAATTTCACCTAGTTGACCTGGGGGTCGTGATTCTAAAGTGATAGAACCCTGAGATCTATGTTTCCGTGAGCTTTGTACTGGTGACATGGGGACTTTGATTTCTTAGTGGCAGACATGTTGATGGTCATTGACTGATTATGATTCTATAGAGGAACAACCTTTGACCTTTGAGTGTTTTTTTCGGTGAGTCATTTTTTGAGTGCTCTTTCACCTTTTCTCTGTTCTTTCAACTTTGTGCTCTGTCAACTTTCCCGTGGAAGGCTCATGATGAAAAAAATCCCTTGGAAGGCTCATGATGAAAAAGCAAGCACATATAGCATTATAAGGAATCGGTCTGTGAGATGGGGGTTGTGATTCTTTAGTGTTGAAAACTTCATACATACTTTCCGTGAGCTTTCACTTCACGACACAGGGGCTTTGATTCTATAGCGTGCGCATGAGTTGGGGGGCATGATTTTATAGAGACCCCCACATGGGGGGCGTGGATCTATAGTATGAAATGGTGCTACCCAAGTAGCCATATGAATTTCAAAGGGGATGCTTGTGTAAATTATCAGTGTAGAGAGTAGGTTCTACTTGTGAGTAGTTCACATTCACATGGCATAAATGAACTGTGTCACCTAGATGGGTCGAAATAGTTGTGAGGTCGAAGCTTTGGCCGTGGTGCCTGGAGTGTGCTGCTCAGTGGCGCAAGCTGGGGATTTGCGGCACTTAGAGGAGTCAGCGATCCAGCCATTCTCAGCGTTGCCACGGTTGATCACATCCCATTTATTTGGACTAAAATCTCACTTGCTTTAAATTGCCTTAGATCCCAGTTACACAGTTTTCAGGCAATGGAGGAACCATGGAGTTCTATGAGAATCCAGTTAGGTTAATCTCAAAGGATTTAGACCATGCCATGTTGCACCCCAAAAGGTCAGTGTCTTTTTTTGCCCGAGAACAGTAGCTACTAGGGGCTCCTGGCATCGCTACTAGGAGCAAGGACGCTACTAGGGGCTCTTGGCCGTACTAGTAGGAGCAAGGCGCTACTAGGAACAAGAAGCTACCAATAGTCACTCCCATAGCACGCTGCCCCCAAGACACTCCTCCACTCGCCACGAGGCCCTGGCGAGCGCTGGCTCCGATGGAGTGCTACGCCTTTGGAGCCGACAGGGGGAGCAGCTTGGTGTTGCTGAACCTGACTCTCAGTTCCGCAGTGTAATTTATTATGTAATGTTAATGTTACTAATGTTACATACTACTAGTGCGCATATTATGTCCTTTTGAATACGCAAGAAGATGTCTACAGCCTTCAATTGAGTGTCCCCGAAGGTGTTCTCTCCACCCTGGTCTGAGGGTGCCTGTATGTTGAGAAACATCCTTCTAGATGGGGTTTCCAACGACTTGAGTTCGAGAAGTCGTTTGCATCACTCATTCTTCCCAAAAGGAGCTTTCAGATGCTTTGAGAGGAACTAGGAACCGGCGCAAGGACGGGATTCCACCCAAACGCGCTCTCCACATGGCCGGCCATAGGCCAACGTGGCATTTCTCCACCCGGGGCGCGCTCACCTGCATGAGCACCGTCTGGTGGCCTGGAGCTGTGAGCCGTTGCCCACAGGGTTTGTTAAAAGGATGTGACATAGACATAGATTGTAAATTGGGCGGGTTCGTTGACCTGGATAGTGCGATTTCTCATAATGTGGCTTGATTGATATCCACATTGATATACCGTCCAACAGAAAGGAGGCAACCGGATAGCTCAATTCGGACTCCTCTGAAGGCCGATGTTGACGTGCATCAGTGTTTCTCGCCCTTGAACACCAATTCGTGCTCCAGCGCATCCAAATGGAGGGAGCGCAGGAATTCCAAGTATTATTTGGTGAGGTGGGAAACCAACACGTACCATTGAGATCGTTGTGGAATTATATTGATTCAACCGATGGCGATCGATTGCTAAATTCTTTGGCTTGTTTCTGTACCGCAAAATATTGCTCTGCAGCAGATTCTTCCTTGTCTCCTGCCATTTCGACCTGCATGTGCACGGGTTGAATGAAACTTCAGGTCTGCACATGTTCAGATGTTTCCTTCCGGTTGTGAAATCTTTGCCTCCCAGGTGGCAGAAGACTCTTTATTGGTCGGAGGCCATGGCTTGCCTCCCACAGCGTTGTCCTTGGACTATGACAAGGCTGGACCTCCCGATGTGTTAAGTTGCATGGGCTTGACTAAAGTCGTCATAGTCCTCTAGAAAGACTGTGCCGGTGCAGTTTGGATCTTGGACAGGGTCCCTCATATTGTGACTTGTCTTGACGTCGCAGAAACGTCACAGATGTCGCGTGTTTGAGGCCATTATGCACGTGCCCAAAGCCTTGAAACAGATGAACCTTCCCAGCATGAGGATGGATTTGGATGGATGGGATGGATTTGGATGCTGTGGGCTGCGAGGGCTTTTTCCAAATCGCAATTTTGCTTTGGATCTGACAGTGTTCTGATCTCATGGGCACCCAGAAAGATGGACATAAGTCATGTTGCAAAACAACTTTTGATTTAGTGGGAGGCCTGGGGGCTGGGTGGGCAAACCGCCAGGCCATTTCAGCCTGGAGGACTGATGTGCTTCATGGACCAACATCATGATCTTGGATCAGAAATCAGAAGGATATGTTGCAAAACCTTGCAGGGATAGTATTACTGTGACAGAGTTTGAACACTGTAACATTTGCAGCAAGAGTGAAACAAGTTACAATCACAAACGATAAATAATGATCACGATCTTAGAACACAGAAGCGGCGTCGGTTGATTTCCTGGCAGGATATGGTAGACATACTGATCTGCGGAGGCCGGTTTTTTCATCGCATTTGGGACGGTTGGACGGTTCAAGGGTTGCCTCAGTATTCCCAAGTAATACAAACGTTCCTGTGCCCCAGAAATCCAAGGCATCTCAGATTGTTTGCTTACACGTCACACGTTTGATATTACGGAGGGGATTGCATGCCATGAAGCTCCACGATTCAAATCAACAGAGAAAAATCCAAGAACCCAAGTAAATGAACATACACATACTAACACCCATTTGCATCGCACATCTGGGCGTCGACACTTCCCTTTTTCGCTGTGTGAAGGCGTCGCAGGGCAACGTTGGCCAAGACCTCCGAGTCCTGTGAGGTATGGATCTTCAGAACCAAAAGTGCAAGGCATAGGTACTTGTAATGTGGACATGTGTCTATACAAGGCATAGGGGCATAGGTCATACAGAGAGATTCGCAATGACTCTCAAACAGATTTCTTCGTTGTACAGTAGCTTCCATAGAAGATGTTGGCACGGGACAGGATTCCTGGTCCAGCGGTTCTTTCTGCTTGCCGGAAATTGGGAAGGTTAAGACATTGTGCACATTGCCATGACGACTGGTTGTGGTTGTGGGTGATCCATGGCCATTGAACCTTGATGCCACCTTAATCTTTCTCCGAGGAACACGGCCTCGTGGTTTTGTATTCGTCCATCCTGTTTTTTGGTGTTTTCATCGGTGAGTAGGTTTGCATCCTCGCATTCTTACAACGTTATATATATATACACATCTAATTTGATAGATTTCTTTTATTCCCCACATTGACGTGTGTTATTTTAGTTTTTAGTGCTGTATCCGCTCCTTCCTTCCTTCCTTCCTTCCTTCCTTCCTTCCTTCCTTCCTCTCCCGCCCAACATCCACCAACAAACATCCACCAACAACATCCACCAACAATATCCACCAACAACAACCACCAACAACATCCCAGCAACAACATGCACCAACAACATCCACCAACAGCACTTGGTGCTCTCCAGAGGGTCGGATGTATGCCATTGTGTGGCAGGTGCGGCACTTGTTGACTTGGTGCTCTCCAGAGGGTCGTGGCGTCGCCTGGGTCTCCGCCGCTGTGCTGGTGTCTATTGCGTGGCAGGCGCAGCACTTGGTGCTCTCCAGAGCGTCGGATGTACGCCCTGGCGTCGCCCTGGTGCTCGTGGGTCTCCGCCGCTGTGCCGGTTTCATTTGCGTGGCAGGCGCAGCACTTGGTGCTCTCAAGAGGGTCGGATGGACGCCCTGGCGTTGCCCTGGTGCAGCTGGGTCTCCGCCGCTGTGCTGACGTGGTTGGCGCAGTACTTGGTGCTCTGCAGGGATGGGATGTACAGTAGGTCTCAGTAGGTCCTGGCGTCGCCCTAGTGCTCGCGTCTCTGCTGCTGCGCCGGTGTGAATTGCGCAGGTGTCCTGGCGTCGCTCTGGTGCTCCTGGGTCTCCGCCGCTGTGCCTGTGCGAATTGCATGGCATGGTGAAGTTATTACATGTGGGGTCATCCGGTCCTATATTATCCTATATTTCTTGGCGGCGTTGACTCCTGTCTGGCCATGATGACAAACTCTGGTGCTTATGCTACAGATTACACTATGTCATTGAGTCAATACCTCGTGGACCTGGATTGTTAAATTCTTGTGCTGCACGAAGATAGTTTTTCTTTTGCCACGGTCCGCAGTTGCAGGCTAGTTGTATTGCCCGGCGGGAGTCCAGACTTACCCCTGTCACTCTTTGAGGCTGGTTGCTTCATTGATCGCCATCCATCCGACGGCGTTCGGAACGATGGAAGCCGGCTTTCCTACCATTAACATTGGTCCATTGGCATCTCTTGCGCCGTGAAAGTCGAAAATCATTGGAGATATGTACAGAATGAGAGTCAATTTTCTGATGTCTGGCCTGGCTGATGTCGATGTGGGCAAAAACTCCATACTTGCGAAGACCAACATGGCCTTCTGGTCATCTTCAGCCTCCCAAGTGGATTGCTTTGACCCTTCACCCATCTTTGCCCCTATGGCCCAAAGCTCCTTGTTGGACATGTCGGCCGCGGACCAAGGGTGACCAAGGTCCAGTTGCAGAATCTTCTTTGAAGGCTCTTGTTTCCTTTTCTTTCTCCTGTTGCTGCAAGTCTCCAGTTCCTGTTCTGTGCGTCCCAGAATCTGTGAGGATCGTGTCCGGTGTTGGAGGTTTCATGAGAGGTCGTCATTCCAGTGTTAGAGATGGCTCCAACATGTTCTTTGCATTTTTCTTTGCCCCATGCCCCATTGCCCCATGTCAACAATGCTTTTCAGCACTGCAATTTGCGATTTGTCTTCAGGATGGCTTCTACCCAGAGGAGAGAGGTACTTTTGACCGGAGTACGAAGCAGAAGGTGCATTGGGATCTTGGGATACTTCTTGGATCTTCTTGGAAAGTAAGATTCAGTGCATCCAAATGCTGTCAGAAGTAGAAAGGGCCACTACAACCGTGTTAAAATATATTACAATGACAATGCCATTCCACGACAACTCTTCGTCAGTGCTCTCGAACTTCTGGCTCACGGATTCCAGTGACCTGAGGACCTGAAGCCTGAAGGGTTCACAACCAGCTGCAGTGGATGAAGATCTCCCTTGATATACTCCACTGCATGGTGGTTGAAACATGTTGCAACCAGCTGTGTCGGAGGGAGGATCCCAAACGATGCCAGGCCGTACCATTGGGAGCCACCGGTGCATCACACCGTGCCTTCTTGTGGCTTGGCAGTTGACACATTTTAGCGTCCTTTCAAGAGTAGCTCTATAGTCGGATAGGTGCACAGCTTGATTTTTGGAGTTTCATGGGGGATCATATTGAAATACAATGGATCAGGCGCCCACGTAAACATGGCGAGCATTAGACCACACAGCACGATTTGCCCGAACAGCTTGGACGCTGGAATTTCCATGACTCTTTCCCGAATACCGAGGTGCGGGCTTCGACGCTGAGGTGCATGGGCTAATGGACCAGGGACAAGCAGGATCTTTCTGGAGGCAATTTGTTCGGTTCTGCCATGCTTCAAGACGAACACCTTGATTCGGCGATGATACCTCATGCCTCATGCTGGCTGTTTTGCTCTGAAATGCGAAAGCCGCTATAGCCAGCAATAGCCAGCAGATTCTCCAGAAGTGAGTTGGCCGAGGGAGCAATGCAAATTTTGGCCTTTCCAGGCTACAGGACGATGTTGCACTTGTCGAAGTTGAATCATGCTTCCCCAGGAGACCCAAATCCTAACACTAGAATACACTAGATAGCCGATGTGCCCAAGGTGAAGATGATCTCAGCTGACTGAAGCACATACATTTGCAGCACGCGCATGAGCCACAACCAATGGGTTCAGCGTGAGGGGTGTGAACTTCTTCTGAGGGACCGGACTCCAGTGAGACTTGGTCGAAATAAACATGAGTCACAAGTCATGGTAGGACACGCTGAATCCAAGCCAAGCAGCAATGTTCTATGATATTCTATGTCTGATGAGATGGCAAAGTCTGATTGAAACAGGAAACTCTAGCACCCGACAGTCGTGTCAATGTTCATTCCAGCCTTTTTGAACAGACTTTGGACTTAAAGCCAAGCTTGAGTTGTCTTTTACTATTTTAGCCCGTGGACCTGCCTCCTTAATAAAGTTGGCGGGAGCACACTACCAGCAATAGGAAGCTCTGATATGGACGCAGGATAGTTCAGCTTCCTTGAAGACGCGCTTGCACCAATGATTTGGTTCCTTGATTTTTAGGGAAACTTAACTTCAACACCCGATGTATGTTTCTCATCAAGACAGCTTCAGGGTATAGCCAAGGCAAGAAGTTGACTGTTGCTTTGAGGGCTTAGCATCGGGACTTATTATTTGTTATCGCTCTGGAGCCACTTATGAGCACCATCGCATCAACACTTTTGCTGCCTTTTCTACCAGTTTTGCAAAGGTGTTGTGAGTCAGAAGGTCGAATGACATCCTGATGGAGTGGCTTGTGCTCAATTCGGCATTGGCTGGCTCCTGAGTCCTTGCTGAGGGATCTAAGTCTTGAAGTCTTGGAATCCAAGAAGGAAGACCGTTTGAGACTCACAAAGATCAAGTTCCTCTAATATGTTTGCGTGACATCGAATTGGTAGTGGTTGATTCCCGGAAGTTGTAAAGGGCAAAGATGAGGCACCGCTCAAATGCCGGACTGTTGTCTCACCTTCGGGACGGCGTAAGAAGCGCCCGCCCTTTATCCAGATGTATTTGCAGTGCCGGTCTCTTCTGGCCAGAAGAAACTACATCGTCTGGACCTGCCTATAATTGCAATATATTATATATTGTAGTCATACTTCATTTCAAACGCTCTGCACAAGGCCTCAAATCAAAGGAGGATGTTAAGCCTTTTGTCATCTCATCATACCTTCCTGGAGAGAGGTGCAAGGAAGGGTGTGTCCCCAAAAGCATGGTGGCTTGACAAACCAAAGTGAGACATAGTGAGACGTGGTTTTGACTCACAAAGTCTCCCAAGGAATTACACCTCATGAAGCTTCGCTATTGCGTTGGAGGCCATCGCTATTAGGTTGGAGGCCATTGCTATTGGGTTCCTTTTGCTAGTAGGTTTCAGAGAATATGGTGTGCTTTCGGCTTTCTGCAGCCATGAGACGTCGTTTGGCAAGTACCATGGGCAGCTGTGGACCCTCCGCCTTGGGGAGGAGCTTGACACCTGGGTAGGTTGACAAACGAAAGACGGAGCCGCAAATCACGGACCTGAATGGCTTTCAGGTTCCTTTGGAAGTCGCATTGAATGTACTTTGAAACACATGCTTATAATATCTTATAATTTAAGATGTTTAAGCTTGTGATTTCATGAGCGAACATTCCAATGGAGATTGGCAAGACCCCAAGACCCCCTTCCCTTGCTCAGGGGGTCCTAGATGCGAATGAGAGAGAGCCACAAGCAAGAAGGCTTGCACTCGGATCATGTGAGCAGCTTGTTTGAATCAAGTTACTAGTAGCTACTTGCTCCTAGTAGTACGGCCAGTTGCCCCTAGTAGCGATTCTGCAGCAAACAACGCCCGTACTTAATACGATGATTCGCCTTGTGCGAATACGTGTGTAGCCCGCGGACTGGGCATGCAACGAACTTGTACCATTTACTCTTGATTTGTAGATCATGGAAGGATATAGAAGGAGCTTTTTTGACGTCTACGTACGTCTACCTTCTCCCTGTTCAAGTTATTCTTTTTTCAAAGGTTGAGGTCGTCAGAGACACTCAGACAGAGCCAATATGGGCTAAAAAAAACCATGGCTTGGGATTCCGCCGGGATCCGACGAGCCACCCTCCGAGGCTTCACGCACCTCGGCGCTTCTGCACTGCTTGTCTTGGGTGTTTCGGTGACCCTTTTCCTCGTGGGCGTTATTTTCAAGCGCCGCAGCGGCACTTCTTCGGGCCAGGTGACGGTGAGTTCCGCCTTTTTACAGGCGGAGGTTTTTCTTGGAGTTGGAGGGGAGATGAAATAAGTGTTGGAAGATGCTTGAGCATTGGTGCACAAATTCAAAGCTACCGTATCAACATGGGATTGGCCGAAGAGTAGTTGTGTGCAGGTCAGTCAATGCATAGATCCAGCATCCCTGTCTCATGTACATAACCGGAAGTGTAAGTGTGTACAGGGTTAGGTGACAAATATTGCTGACCAATAATTACCCTTTCATATTCCGTGCAATTGTCTTCTTTGCTTTGTAATCCTTGTTCCGCCAGCCATTAGAAAGAAGCAAAGGAAGACCGATGTAAGATGATGTAAGTGTTGCTGTGAGCATTTTATCTAAGGCTACTGGAGTGGAGGTCAAGTGGAACCGAGAAGACGGAGCACGTCCTTCGTCTGTCGTATTGATGTGTGCAAACCACAGACGTTAGCATGTTATCATGCCAAGGAACACCATGTGCAACCAGCCTATGCGGCCTGACACCCTCCATTGGGGCATCCCTCTTGGGCACTAGCCCTGTCGGCAAGTGCTGCTGCAGGTTTCTTACAGTATAAGGAGTCTGGTCCGTCTCAACATGCAGAAGCTAATTTGGAGCAAGTTAACATCAGCAACAAAGCTACTGTATGCTCTTTTACTCTTGCCCCCAAGGTCATAAACCAGTTCAACGGTCATGTACTCCATGAACAAGCAAATAAATCACCTCTAAACAGATAGCGCTGGGTAGATGGCCCCAAGTGTTTGTAAGAGACCTCTTTGAAGAAGTTTGAAGCACTTTTTTGTCATAAACAGGCAGGCGTTGCCAGATCTGAAATGAATTCAGCTGCTGTCTGGCTTGTAAGTCGAAACAAATGTACCCATTGGTGGGAAATAGAGGTTCCATGCATGATGCAACTGTCAACTTTTGCGTTGGCGGTTGGGAATTGGCATGTCTCCGCACTTTCCGCGCTTGAACCAGGTAGAGTTGGAAAGGAAGCTTGGCAAAAAGTAAGGTGATGTGAAAGAGCAAGCACAGAAGCTCACGAACTTGCCTGATACATCCTGATACTCCTTACTGGCCACATGCTTGTTCTGATTTGCCTGACAGTTTGGGTTTTGACATGGTGATGCTTTTGAAGAAGTTTGGATCACCCTTGATAAGAAGAGAGAAGGTATATACTTACACCATATTATACCTTAAATTGAAAACAACCTCCTGCATCTTACCCGTGTGTCGTTCTGAGATGTTCTGAGACGTAAACCAGACCCTGCGGAGCCCCTGCGGACCCGGTGTTTTCGCCCAGGATTCTTTACTTTGACCTGTGGCGAGTGCTTTGCGTCGCGCTGGTGGTCCTTTCACATTCCTGGGAAGGCCTGACTGGGCGGGTGGCATGTTAGCAAAGTTGGCAAAGAGGAATCTTTGGGCACAAATACACACATATGTGTATAATATATTTATATATTTTAATGCAATTGTCTATATCGCTATTATATAATTATATATATATATGCATGCGGTATAGTATACACCATCTAAATCTGGATTTGGACATGGTTGTAGACGTTCAATGCCAAAGCCTTTTGTTTTGATTGATTCCAACTGCACGTGCCTGAGGCTATCACGAGCAGAACTTCTTCGGTGTGTGCCAGTGGGTGCCCTGAACCCTGAACTTGCAAATTCGGTGGACCCAAGGAACCCCTTTCGGTGACAAAAACGGACACTAAAAAGGAAACTAGTTTTCTATTATATAGCGATGGCCTCCACCCTCGTAGCAATGGCCTCAAAACCTACCAGCGATGGCCTCGAACCTACCAGACTCTTTCAGTGGGACATAGGAGTCTCCCGTTTTGTCCGTCCATGGGGTCATACTCGACAGCTCTGAGGTTTTACAGTACGTGACGATCATCTCTGCCATTTGCTTTGCCCGATCAAGCACAGGCTTGGGCAGATACTGCCGGGATGCCTTAGCTGTCGACAGTTGTTCTGGAAACTGATGAAGCACATTAAGAGAAAGGTTGGCAAAGCTATGTGGAAGCAGCAAGAGTGAAGAAGCGGTTGCCGTCATAACTCAGAAGTCAGAACGAAGTTCTGTATTTTGCCCAAGTGGACATTTTCTTCGCTTTCAAAGTCTAGTTTGCTGAGTCTTCAGAGACCAAGGTCTTCGCTTGCTGATGTTCTGCGGCTTGGGGACCATGTTGAATTGGTGGCTTTGATGCACACTACCCGTGTCCGTCAGTGAACCGATGGACTCCGATACACTCCGATGGACTCCGATGGACCCAAGGTTGCGCCCCCAACAACTGGTCTTGGATAGGGTCATTCATAGCGGCAGGAGTGGCAAAGGTGGTAGTTCCCGAAGAAGGCCTTGCCCTTGGACTCCTTGAAGGCAAAACACCATGGAAGCAGAGAGCGCTCTTTGTGACTTAGCTCTTTGTTTCAGGATGGCGCTCTTTGCCATTGCCGACGAAGCCATTGAAGATCCTTTACGACGCTGGGCTCAGTCTTCGACCGAAAGTGTGATTTTTTGAATTATGAAAGGTAGAGATTGATCATGATCGCTTCACCCTTAAAATGACTCTCCACAGTCCGCGCACACAGCCGCGCACGGCTGAAAGCTGCTCTTCACAACCAATGGTGTTTTTGTCGCCCTACCTGGGCGATCAATGCTTCGCAGTGCAGAAGCATTTCTTCGCCAATCAGGGTGTGAGAATGCCTGGGATCTGGACCTCAATTCAAATCAGCCTAAGTTTCCCTTGAATCCCTCAAAAGAACGAATCAGTTTCTGAACACTTCCAGACCCTGGCCGAGCGCACTGAGGAGTCTCGCTCCTTGGCTTCGTCTCACGCGGCAAGGGTGGAGAAGCCAAACATATTGGCCAACCAGATGGTTCTTCTACTTATAGCCAGATAGCTGCTGAATGCTCTTTGAAGGGATCAGACTGAGGCAGTGAGACAGACGCAGCTAGCATTGGCTGAGGTTTCAGATGGCATACATTCTTTGTCTCGTTTTCGGTGCCATTGGTGTCTCCCCTATGAAGCCGCTTGATCAGCAAAGCTATCAAACTGGTTGTGCAATTTGTTTTGTTTGGCTCAGAGTACAGGTCAAAACGTCAGCTCTTAAAGAATAATACAGAGATATACAGAGTACAGTTTTGCCCAGGAGCATCAGTGCAGACTACTCAGTGAACATGTGTTCGGTTGTCAACGAACCTGATGTAGCAATTAGAGCAATTAGTCGACGAAGCTTCCCACAATGTGCACAGCCGGTCTTCAATCTGTCGACTCGTCTCACGCATCTCATGCGCATCAGGTGGCTCCTCAAAGAAAAGAAGGATCTGAACTATCAGGCTTGGACCGGCAGAGCGCCATTTGACGTTTGTTTGTTCGATCATATTTGACAGGAGTATGACAGGTACAGAACAAGTTGGATATGATGATATGATACTGTATGATATGATCTCAGAGCACATCGCCTTTGCGATCCTGAACAGAGTCCTGCCCCCAATCTTGGACGTACTCAACACGGTGGTGGTTGTGGTGGTGGCAGTGCTATGGCGGCTATGCCTTTTGGGAGCCCCTGCCGCGAAGGGTCAGTAGAATTCAACAGAATCAATGTAGACAAATCATTGAAGGGCTGGTGTACCGAGCATGACTTTCGCTCACAAGTAAGCACCTGGAAGTTAGAAATGCTGAATCAGTTTTGGGACAGCTCCCAATATGTGGCCATACCCGCATCGACACCGCAGTTTCAGATATTTGGATTGAGTCATCTCTTTTGGTACAGGTGCGTGTGGAGATGAGACATGGCCTGGCGTTTCTTCCATACTTCATGGCGTTGGTTTTACTTATGCCACTGGTGTGCCTTTGCCAGACAAGAGCTTATATAATAACACTGCCTGCGCACTGCAGACTCAGAGTTGTCAATTGCTTTCAAGCATTGCTAAATTTGTGTTTGCTTCCCTGGATGATAGTACAATGGCAACATGCACATGTCCCAGGTTTATGTGATTGGTTATGTGAATTTATTCAATTCATCTCCATACCGTAGTCAGCCCTTTGAATTCCTGAATGTGATCTCTTCACTGTCTCCGAAAGAGGCTTATTTAAACATTGCCTCTCAAAGAGCCTATGGAATTGGGGACATATGTGGATGGGCCCCTGGAATTTGTTGACTTTGATCGTCTCGTTGCAGAACTTGTTGCACAACGAGAGATTCCTTTTGCCGGGTGAAGCGGCATGTTTTTATAATTTATATGTTTCCTTATGACACCTATAAACAGACTCAGAATCAACTGGAATTTGTGTCAACATATGTTGTGAGGATGACCTGACCCTACTACAAATTTGGCTAACAAATTGGAGTATGCAGTATGCACTAATTTGATTGCCTTTTTTTTGCAACGAGCCACTGCCAGATTGCTCAGGTGTCACAGTAACATTCTCAGCCTTTGCACGGTTTGAGCACTTTCTCCAACTGAGTCAGGAAGTTGCGTTTGTGGCACATTGATCGGGAGTGGAAGAAGAAACATATAATACACAGAGATATCATATCATTTATATTCCTGCTTCGCACTGTAGCTGGTCATTAGTTGTCTTTCTGCCCAGGTTTCATTCGTCGTGGCTGGAGCAGAAGAGCCTACAGGTGAGCTTGCTGCGAGTGCCCTGGGAACTCATGGAATCGGCGCCTAGGTGAATCAGCAGGCGAACCGAGGTGCTTGACACGGTGCATGGAATGAGTTCGTTGAATCAGGTCGCTTGGGTCGTCCCAGATCCACCGGTCGACCGGGGAACAAAGTCAAGCAGGTTCAGTTTGGTAGGAGGTTCACTGATGACTAATGTGATACAAGTGTTCGAACATCGAGGCCCTCAAGAAAGCAATCTCCAAGCCTCTCATGAGGACATGAACTGACTGTCTGAGTCTCTTATCTAAAGTGAGTCTCTTTTTTAAATCTTGTTTTCACTCGGGAGTGGCTGACGGAGTGGCTGACGGAATGTCTCTATTTGCAGTCCAGCTGAGATGCTGCTCCCTTGCTCGGCAGTGGTCGCACACTTCTTCCTCCGCGACTCCGAGACCAAAGCTTGGATTGGCTGGGTACAGAGCTCGGACCAGGGTGAGGCAAGCCAATGTCATAATGGCTTGTTGAAGGGCTACTGTTCCTGAACCTGATTGTTTCTTACGTGAAGCAACAGGGTGGCTTCTAGACCCTTCTGCGTGATTCAATGAGTCATGTCCTTCGACGGCCAGCTACATGACACCTTGTGTGCCTACCTTGTGTGCCCAGGTGTGGCTGGCTCTTCTTCAAGCAGGGCGTATTCTCAATGCTGAGCCCAGACCGGGATCTGAGATCCACCTGTTGGACCTGTGCCCCAAGACGAGAGTCTTCTTGGTTTCAAAAGGCTTCTCAAGATGAGATCGAAGCGATTGATTTCCGAAGTACTAGCTGGGGTCAGCTATATATATATGTATATATTCAATCCCTTAGTCTTTTGCAATGCAACAAATGTATCGATAAATATGGATCGACTTGCCGAAGGTTGGAGGGACTTTGCATGTAATTATCGCCAAGTAGTGCAGGTACATATGGTCTGGATTTATCTACTTTGTGCCATTAGCCTATCAGGCAAAGATGCTTGGCTTTCGTCCTGAAGGCACCGGTGAGCGGGCCCCTGTTCGTTACTTCAAATTTGATTGTCCGAAGCAGGCAGATGATGTGGGTGAATGGATGACCCCATGGGACTGGACGACTCCATTCGGGCGACCACTTCGGATCGCTTCGATGAGACATGTTATTAGTGCACTCGCAACCTACGTTGCATTTGGGAAAGGCTGAAAATAACAGAGGTACTGTTGTGCACCAAGTTCGCATCAGAACTGCGGGCTTCACCACTCAGTGGCACAGTTAGCTAGCGTTTCTGCTATATTCAATCATATTCATACCACCCAAAACACACACTTAGGATAGGGTCTACTGAACTGAAAGCGGTGCCACACGCCGGCCTAGGGTTCCATTTCCTAAGGGTACCAGTACGAACCACGGGAACCTGGAGGACTTCAAGAGGAAAGAAGGCCAAAAGCTCAAGGCGAAAACGGACCGACGGGGTGACGGCGTAACGTGCATGTCTGCGGAACTCACTAGCCCTTTACTAAGGGTAGAAACTAGCTGGGTTCTCGGCTTAGCCCAGTGGCCATGCACGGAAAAACTCAAAGCAGGTACGTGAGAGTGATCAGCTCTCATTTCCCGTACAATCAGGTAGCTTCGTTGGACATGGTCCCTGATTGTACGCCATGTCCCCCTGCTGCACAAGGAAAACAACTGTGAAGCTAAAACAGTCCGAAAGGATCCCTATGATTCCAAGGGTTACACACACACGCCTCCCCGAGGGGAGGCAAGATTTTAAGCTCCGCGCCACAATCAACGAGGCAATGACGTGTACTTCGTCCCCAAGTAGTGGTAAGGCCAGGAACCTCTAGTAGCGTCAAAGAAAAACCTAACACCTAGTAGGAAGGCCAGGAGCCCCTAGTAGCATCCCAAGCTAAGGTGCCGACAAGAGGGAGGGGTAGGGAGAGACGAGAAAAAGGAGAGAAAGAAAGGAAGGTGTTCCCAGCTACGACGCATGCGTCCAAGGACACACCAAAGGAAGAGAGGAGAAGGTTCCCAGCTATGACAAAAGCATCCAGGGACACCCAAGGAGGGAAGAAGGAGAGAGAGAAGGAAAGAAAGAAAGAGAGAGGGAGAGAAAGGGAGAGGAGAGAAAAAAGAAAAAGGCAGGTGTTCCCAGCTACGAACAAGCGTCCAGAGACACACCAAAGAAAGAGAGGGGTGATCCTGAGTGTTGCATTCAGGAAAACCCCAGGAAGCAAAGAAAGAAAGGGGGAAGGGAAGGGGGAGAAGGGACTAAGCTCGCGACAGGTTCCAATGAACCTTGAACAAACTTCGGTCGCTGCGACCACGTACGGCTTGCCCGAGGGCTGCCACCTCTGACCGCTGCGGTCACCTAAAGGCATGAGCCAGCTTGGAATTCCTAAAATGAGACAAAATCATCGTACGTACGGCCTAGGCCACCTACGCTCGCTGCGAGCTGCTCTGTATCCGGGCAGGGGATACGTTGGACATACACCCGTTCGACGGGTCCACGGGAGGCACTCTGCGGGCTCATCCCGGGTTGGCACGAGGCCAAACACACTTAGGATAGGGTGTACTGAACTGAAAGCGGTGCCACACGCCGGCCTAGGGTTCCATTTCCTAAGGGTACCAGTACGAACCACGGGAACCTGGAGGACTTCAAGAGGAAAGAAGGCCAAAAGCTCAAGGCGAAAACGGACCGACGGGGTGACGGCGTAACGTGCATGTCTGCGGAATTCACTAGCCCGTTACTAAGGGTAGAAACTAGCTGGGTTCTCGGCTTAGCCCAGTGGCCATGCACGGAAAAACTCAAAGCAGGTACGTGAGAGTGATCAGCTCTCATTTCCCGTACAATCAGGTAGCTTCGTTGGACATGGTCCCTGATTGTACGCCATGTCCCCCTGCTGCACAAGGAAAACAACTGTGAAGCTAAAACAATCCGAAAGGATCCCTATGACTCCAAGGGTTACACACACATCACATCCTTTTGCCTTCCAGCACACTGCATTTTTTGGAAATAGACATTGGATATCACAAGATCTTTTGCAGATCTTGCAGGTTTGCCTGATATGGTGACCACCCCACCAAGTGCGCAGCCCAACCAAGAGTGCTCAACAATGAATCCATAAGGATTGGGAAAGCCATAGCTCAGCTTTGGCTTCTGTGGGCCGTCCCTGTTGCCTTGTTGGTCGGAAGCGCGGCATTTGTTTAAAGGAGGAGTGATGTGATATAGGGTCCATCATTCCCACTTCCAGAAACATGGCTTAAACATAGTACTTAGATTGATCATTATCATGATTGATCTATAATTATGGTACTGTTGCCTGGTATGCAATGTCCTTCGTTGGTTTGTGGGAGCCTCTTAGAGGACTCCTTTGCTAGTGGAGGAATGGAATGGCTTTGGGATTTGGAGGTAGGATGTCAGAAGATGTCAGAAGGCTGGACTGGCAGAAGAGCTAATCATTCAAACCACGACTTTTTTGGGTCATTTGGACCCGGATAAACCCAACTGCATCACATGAGCTGAGCAGGTTTTGAGCATGCAAGATCTGATGATTACTTTTCAGAGTGTGACTCGGGACCTGCGTTGTTCTCAGCTATATACTCATGATGGGGTTCCAACAAGGATGGTGCTATAGGCCAAAAGGCTATTTACTAAGCTCGCTGGTCTTCTCAGTGAGGATCCATGAATCCCCGTTCCCTCGTTGGCCATGTTCACCGCACAAGACTTTCAAGCGATCGGTGGCAGATGGTGGCGCCCAGGATTGCCCGGGGCGGAGCCACCATTTCCTGCCCAGTATCCTTCGCCTGAGGCACGTTTTGCTGGGCGGGGAAGAACCTGGGCGGGGAAGAACTACACCGTTTTCGTCCATCGTCGGATTGGTATTCAATTATAGTAAACCTTCCATGATTATCCGCTTATCCATGACTGATGACCTACACGGTATGGATCCTAACCTGGAATCAAGGTCTACATCAAGGATCATACACAGTTGCTGATTGTGAGGAGTACCCAAAGGCCCTTTGAGAGAGGCCTGGCACCTTCTGCTTATTCCATGAGCTGCAGGTGATGAAAAGAGCCAGGCCTATGGGCTGTTGTGGTGGGCACTTTGGAAGGGAGGATTCATTCAGTCATTCAGTCAGTTAGAGTTGATGTTACCGGCCGCTGTGTTCCCTCAATCTCTCATTATTTCCTCACTTCAGACATCAGACAGTTACTTTGGAACAGGGGTGGCTTGCACCCAAGGAACAAGCCATGAAGCACAGGGGTATGGCCAGAAGGAGGCTCATGCAGGATTCGAGGCAACAACCTTTCCATGCCTTTTGAGCCTCAGGGCAACATTGGCAACCATCAGGATAGGAATAAGTATCCAGTCAACCTGGTGCCTCCTTCAACCATGTTGATTGTGGCAGCCACTCTTCTGGGAGTGAGTTCGCTGAACTCTTGCCAAGAAAACCGGTGCTCCACAGAGCTTGCTACATTGATACATTTTGTTGGTCTTCAACATTTACCACCACGCGAAACAAGTGTTTATTTGGCCAATATGGACGCCGCCCATCCAACTGAGCTGATTCTCAAACCGAAGCAAGTGAGTGTGAGTGGTGGAAGGTTCTATTTTGTAGAGTCTGTCTTCATCCTGGCTTTTGTGACGCTTGTATTGGTCATAGCGAGCTGCCGTGTGCTTGTTGTTGATGGATGGAGCCAAACTTGCTTTCACCCCAACATCCCCAACATGCATTGTGCTTTCATCCATGACCATGCTCAGTCGCTCTTGGAATGCGAACTCAATCATTGCTTCCACATGTGCTGAAAGCAATGTCTCACGACATCCCACAATGAGAGCTGTGCAACATTTGTGTTTGACTGCACAATTCCCTCTGCTGAGGACCATTCCATCTGCTGGAAAGCAGCACACTCTCGTCATCCCGCAGTCTGCTGGACCGACATTGGACTGCCTGAATTATTTGAACCTGATGCTGCATTGAACACTACCCTTTAGTTTCTTTGTTGAAGCGTTGCCACTGTTTCGATCTCGATCAATATGCTGTCTTGCACAGACCAGAAAACCCGGACGCCAATGTCTTCACCAAAGCATGCCGTTTTGCAAGAGCTTAAATCACCTGATAGCCTCAGGTCCCTACTGTAGCCGTAATGCAGGGCTTCCAAGCCGTTTTCAGCAGGGCTTCCAAAGAGACTTGACGGTGTTCTTTTACAACTCAAGAAGTCAGAGTCATCCTTGTTAGACCATGGGTCATGTGAGTTCCAACAAACTCTTTTTCTTCGTTTACGTGGATTACGCCTTTCCTATACATTTGGGTGCCCAAGGGGCCCTTGAGAACGCTGGGATCCCTGGCGCGCCAAGGAGTTTGGCAGCCTTTTGCTCACACAAGGCTATCATCGACGTGGTCCAACATACCTGGAGATGACCGGCATGACGAGGAACAGAAGGCTGTCAAACCGACTCCTTCCACAATCCTGCGCTTTCCAAAGTGACTACTAGTGACGACAATAGTGACTGTTTCACGGTGTGATGAAACTCGGAGAGACCAAGTGCGTGCAGATGTTGCTTGAGGGATCTTGCGGGTTCGATCCGGCTCCTTTCAGATTCGACAGCCCCGCAAGTCTTTGACCGCTATGGTTCGGCTGTTTTGGCCCCTAGAGCGTCCATGAATGTGCTCAAGGAAAAAACATGACTCAATGCATAGGTCTCCTGTCCTTTTGAATCAAAGTGGGAGAAACCGGAGACCCAGTGACCACTCCACATTTACAAAAATGGTGGGCTTTCATTCATTGGCATCCATCACCTACTAGCCACATCGAAGCCCATGATTCACCATTCACGACATCAAAGCGCACAAGGATGAGTGAGAAAGCATGAGAAACGAGTAGGAGCTGCTTGACCCTACTTGAGGCATGAAATCAAACTCCCCACAACTGTCGCCCTCTGATGTGTCACCCGTAGGCCATGCCCTAGGAACTCAGTCGGACCTCTTGAGTCGAACTCAAATGCTCAGCCATGGCTCTGCGCGGGTCTTGAACTCAGAAGTCAACTGAGGTCGAAGAATCATCCATCACCATGTTCTGATGTCTTTCGATGGTTCTTGAAAGACACCTTACCCCACCTCACCTACATCCGATCCCTCAATCAATGAAGACTACAGCTCCCATGGTCCGGTCTTGATGGATCCTCTACGAATGCTGCCCATGCGTGTTTTTCAGCACTTGGAAACGCCACAGAGGAGCTTTCGGGACGAACGACGCACTCTTTCAGAGCTTCACAAGACCGGGGACCGCAGAGTTTGATGACCGCAACCTGCCACGTTGGCACGTGCTGCGAAGGCCACGCTGGCACCTGGGCACCTGGTGTGAGTCCTATCAGTCGCGGCCAGTCGTGATGCCGATGCTCTTGCAGAGATCCATTCATGGAAGACAAGTACCCGCCTCTCCCCATAAAGAGTGGTTGAAGACACTGACCAGTTTGCGGTTGGATCTGAGGGAGTCTTTTCGGACCATTTCGGACCCCATCTGGCCAAGATCCCATCCTCCACCTGACCTGGTAGCTCACACAGTCACTGAATCTTGTTGCAAAGGCGCCGCAGCGCAGTGCCCTGAGAGCCAGAAAAGGATCAAAGCCAGGTGCGAAGAGACATGAGCCATGCGAGTGCGGGTGTGCCCTGCGGGCCGGGCCGGGGGAAGGCAGGAAAAGGTCTGGTGGTTCCAAATGTTCCAGGGGAAAGGGAACCCCCCCTTCTTGATATGCTCCGGAGGGTCTCACTTGGCGCGCCAGGCATCCGAGATCTTCGCCCGGAGGAGAGCAAGAATGTTGACTTTCCGCGATCAACAGCCACTCCAGGGGGTGGCACATGAGCATCCCTGAAGGCCCAAAGGTTGCTGCGAAGCCCAGAAGTTGCGACCCATTTGGGATCACAGAGGACGTATATACACGTGACATGTGCAGAGCACCATTGATGCTCAAAGACCATTCAAGAACTACACTCCCTGATATCTGTATATATAATCATGGAAGTGGATGGCATGGCCCCGAAAGGATGACCCTTTTCCGAATACCAACCAGGTTGTTTTCACTCCATTTCCATGATTCTATCAGGGAGTGTATAAATATGTTCACCAGTGAAGACAATAACAGCCGACCCTTATGAACAAGTATTCGAGCTGTGCCTAGACTGAATATCTACCGAGCCACAAAATCCTTGGTCTACCTGATCAGGCATAACCAGGCACAAAAAACAGTCGCTGACCAGCATGACCAATTCCTTTTGATTCTTTTCGCACCCTGTCAGGAGGATGTCTCGGAGTATTTGCGCTCTCTCAGCGCCACAGGTCAACTCACCAGACCCCAGGACACTGGGAACATTTGGGAACCTTGTTTCGAGAAGGGATCCCACAGGGAAACAGAGATGAGCGTGAAAGAAAACAATCCAAGTCCGGGCTTGGAGGATTTTGTATTTCTGATGTCTAAAGACTGGACCCCTAGACTTGCTGCATGTATTTCCGTGTTAGTAAGCAAACTATACTCGGCGAGCAGAAAAACTACTGTATATATAACAAACACTGCTATCTTGCTTGAGACTAAAGCTTAAGCAAATCCAAGGCGAGTTTTTGCTCCACTCCATGACGAAGATAGCCCTTGCATTGTCCAATCAGTAGCGACCACTAGCCAGCGACCTAGCCACCTTTCATCCCGGCCCTGTCGATGGGTGTATCATGGTGTATCTTGATCCAACTTGCAGGATCTGACTTCGCTTCTGGGCAAGCTGCATGAGTGGAGGCCAACAGATCCGGATCAGCGGTGAATTCGATCAGCCAAGACATGTTTGACGACGGGAGTGGCTGAAACAGGTGATTCGATCAGCCTACTGTAATTCAGGGAACCCTCCAGCACCTACTCTAGTGCCCCTGCAGGCAACATTCAAAAACCGACAATTGTAGCAATTTGTTGCACTGGATCTTGCAGTCAATTCAGATGTTTTTTTTTCGCTGAGCATCACCAATGAATTTTGTTCAATCCCCTCATACTTCATTCAGCAATCATAATGCTTCTGTGCAGCGAAGCCACCTGCCGAAGAGTTGCAGTGCTTCAGTCCTCCAGGTCTGCTCTTGCAGCCTTCGAAGAGATGAAGAGCCTGGGTCTACAGCTGGGTGCTGAGGCCTCTACCCTTCTCCAACAATCATGGAAGTGGATGGCCTCTGGAAAGATTATTCTTCTCTGCAAACAGTGGGTTGTCCACTTCCATGTTTGTTGCAGCAAGGCTAGATCATTGAGGACGTTTAATTTGAGGTGTCAGTGCCTCCAAAACACTGGGACCTAGCTTGGATCTGTCGAGATTGTGTTGGTGGCTGCAAGACAGGCACACTGCGACTTGTCATCTCGGGATTCACATGGTCTTGACCCGCGCTTTGTGAAAGAAGCACCGGTTATGCCACTCCTGCAATAGGTCCTTCGGAGCACATGTGGACTCTGCACACATCGCTTGTGCTCCGATTTGAGGCCCGGTCCCTTTGCCGCCAGCGTGCTGGTGCGGACACTGGGTCGCAGCAGCCAATGGCCTGAGGGCCCAGCGGAGACGGCGCTGAGGTTGCTGAAGGGAGTCTTAGGCGACGGATCCAAACGACGGTGCATTTGAGGGCATGGTCCTTAGATTCCCATAGTTTGCGGAGGGGTCGTATGATTTCTCGTGGACATTGAGTTTTGAACAGGTTAGAATGCATTTTGTACCAGGATGTACCAGGCTTCCCCATCAATTCCCTCGATGAGTCGATGAGTGCAGTGTCTCTTCAATACAAGGATCGGCCGGTACAGGCATTCCATTTCGTGTGGTAGTATTGTATATATATATATAGAGTATTGTATATATGTACACATATCTGTGTGCCTCAACCCTGCGGGAATGGCAGAGGGTCGATTACGTGAATGACCAGTGGGACCAGTGGGACCAGTGGGACCAGTGCCCGTACGTTCGCCGCTCTTCGAGGGGCCGGGCGCTTCAGATCTTCGAAGAGAGTTCAGGCCACTTGAGCAAGTGATGTAAATCAACCACTTCAACCAGCTGGAGATGAATAGACAAGAGTTGACATGAATTGGGGAATGTAGATAATTTAAAGATGATATGAACTGACTTAGATATGTAAGTGCTATATCTTGGTCGCCTAGATCTCTATGTTGGACAATGTCTACATTGGAGGGTCCAGAAAGTTGCATCCTGCAATGCTGTGTTTGTGATTGTCATTTTCGTGCCGTGGTGTGGGCTGAGTGCACCGAATGACTGAATTGATGCGATTTTGTTGCAATTCCGAAATCCCAATTGCGCCTAATGTTGGTTTTGTTAAGTCCATGGATCATGGAGCTTACAACGGAGGAGCGGTTCCGGACCTGGCTTCTATAGTACTATAGTGACTTAGTGAAGGTATCTATCAGCACACGGACAAGGGGCGGGCAACGGTATCTTGTGTCCTGCCAAGGCAATGCAAGAGGTCATGTAGAAGCACTTTTCAATTGCTGAGACCTTTTTGGATGCTCCAACATTCCCCTGAGCTACATATTATGTAAAACATTGTAAAACCAAAGGAAAGACACACTTAGATTGTTGCTCGCAAGAGCTAGTATCAGTACGAAGTTCCCCTTGACTTGATGAACGGAATGAAGCACAAACCGAAAGGTGGCTGAGTCGGCGAACTTGTAGATGTTTAACAAAGTTTCAACTCCTATGCATTAGCCGCTTTACTGAATACCTAGCAGACTGCCTATGCATTAGCCGCTTTACTGAATACCTAGCAGACCGCCTATGCATTAGCCGTTTTACTGAATACCTAGCAGACCGCCTATGCACTAGCCGCTAGCCGCTTTAAACAGTTTTAAACAGTTTTGCAGGTACGTTTTCACACCTACCACTGCCGGTCTTCGTTGGCCACAGCAGCAGTGGCAGGTCTCTGCCTCTTTTTTCCGCGCTGAGAAACTATATGTTAGTAGCGACGCCAGGAGCCCTTAGTAGCAAAACCAGGGGCCCTAGTAGCGTTCTTTGTGAAAACCTTAGGCACAGGTGTGGACACCGTGGACATACACACACGAAGCCGTACTCGGCGCACGGTCCCTTGCTTGCAGCTTTGTAGCGTGGCCAGGAGTCGCTAGTAGCGTCCTTACACCCCGTAGAAAGGTCAGAGGCCCCTAGGAGTACCGTCCTGGCTCCTGGTAGCGAGGCCAGAAGCCCCTAGTAGCGTTGTTTGTGTCGCAAAGCTTTGTACACATAGCGCCAATATTGGCGCTTTTTGAAAAGTACTAGCCACCTAAAAAGCCTTAGAAAGACAGTGAAAGCAGACAAAGCAGAGAGCAAGAAAGAAAGATAGGTGTAGTTACGAGGCCCTCTTAGTTAAATGAAAGTAGAACGCGAGCGGGACATTTTGTCTTAAACCGCCCGGGTAGCTAGCAATAGAAAAGGAGAAACAGAAGGAAAGGCACCAACACACAAGTGTGTTGAGTGCGATTTCCTCCTGTTGCCCGAATAGCGGGTAGGATAGCAACGGACAGGGAGGT